TTGTCCGTCCGTCCGTCCGTCCAGAATGGTGACATTTTTGTTTGTCCATCCGTCCGTCCGTCCAGAACGGTGACATTTTCGTTTGTCCGTCCGTCCGTCCGTCCAGACGGTGACATTTTTGTTTGTCCGCCCAGCTTGGACGGACGGACGGACGGACGGACACGTTGCTTGTCCGTTGACACCTTTAGGTAGATGTTCAGTCTGCACGAAGAATGGCTTAACATTTTCATATATATAATTAGAAGCCTGTTCTAATGATGTTGAACCAATGTGTGTTGGTGTTTATGAAATGTAATAAACAGAGTATGACTCATACCATAAATACAATGAACAACCTTCCGATTGTTTCTTCATTGGAAAATAGTTCATTCAAATTAGAAATTTCACATGTTAAAAAGCTTGTCGAATTTTAGACTGGTTTCTTTGGCGGACATGAGAATAAAAATACATAGAAAAATAGGGATCATTTTTTAATTTTGTTCCTAAAAACCACAAGAAAATAACCAAAATAAGATTATTCAAATGTGTATGGAAATGTGGTCATCTTGTAGTTGTAGTGGTATCATTAAAACGAAGAGATAAGAAATTCCTTTTTTTTTGCAAGTAAAGCCATTATTATTTGATCAGTAATCATAATCGTAAGTTTAAAGAAATGCACACGTATGATTTGGAGGCTAGAAACGATAGAAATTGACGTAAAATATATCACCTCATACAAATAATAATTAAAAATTCCATCGACGAATGCATAAACAGCTTGTGTCAATTCATTAAATTACAATTTCTACATTTTTTATCGATTTCGAGTTATTTTTGTTTAAACAAACTAAATGAGAAATTTTTTTTGTGCTTGCATACAAAACTTTATAACAAATTGATGGCAACAGTAAATTCAATAAAATTCATTTAATTACATTTGCGTTATTTGTTAAATTGTTCTTTCGATCAGTTTCGTCTATAGATAATTCATTGCCAATTCATAAAATCTTCAGTCAAATTTCGAGTATAATTCAAAAAAGATGGCAACAAAAATATTTTTTACCACTTTTATCTTCATTATATTATTTTCTGGAGCAATGTCCGGTCTTTTTCGTCGAAAAGGGTAAATATTCAAAGAAGCATTAAAAAAAAAATAATGGGACACATTTTTAATTCATAATATTTTATTTATTTTCGTGCAGGCGCAAAGGTACTGCCTCTACAACATTAATATCTTCCGCAAAATTGTAGACTTCTATGATTTTATTGAAGATATTAATCGATTATCTCTTATCAGTTTGCGAAAAACACAGTTTCAATTGTTTTTACATTCAAACTATTCATGTTACATTTCTATACACGATTCATGTTGCGTTTTTAAGAAAATATTTTTCTTGGTGCATTCGCTACCAAATATTCCTGCAATCCCGCTATCTACTAACACTCATTGTATCTTTCCTCAGGTGCGAATGATCCTACACCCATTACCAAAGATGTCCAACTTCGTGAAGCTGCAGCGAATGGTAATTGATTTGAATTTAAAACCAGAAAACCAACTTCTCATATTTTATTAGTAATCTAGGTACAAAAGACGTTGTTCAAGAACTTATTAATCAAGTTACCGAAATCAAAGACTGTGACGATGAAGGGAACAATGCTGTCCACTTGGCCGCAAAGAATGGTAATTTCTTAAATCCAAAAATAGTTAGCTGATATTAAGTGATTCACAATCTAGGTCATATGGATATCGTCAAAATTATCGTTGCGAAAGATACATTCCATGAAGAGAATAAAGATGGTTATTTGCCTGACGAATGGGCTTATGAAATGGGTAACTACTTGGACGCTTCGTGTAGGAAGTTCAAATAATATTTTCTAATATTCATTCATTTGTAATCTAGGTCATAAAGATATTGCAGAGTATATCTCTAATGCTTTAAGAGCAGAGCTCGAAAAAGGTAACGGCGCCTTCATTCGTGGAAAAATTGGAAGTAGAAAGTATGGAGTTATGAGAAGTATGTCAGAAATTGAGTATAAAATATAATTTATTAGTGAATTTTTAATCTTTTTTTCATTTGACAACTGTAGATCCAGATTTTAAGTAATCTACGATGGACTCCAGTGGACTCCACAGTGAATGAACATGAATATTTTAACCTTAGAACCATGGTTGGTCATTTCAACTTAATCCCGTGTTTTGGGGCATGAAAATGTCATTTTTTTGAAGAAAAAAAATCGTATTTTTTTAATTATTTCAAAATGTACAGTTCCAATTTTGTCAGCACCGGTATGTATGTGTGCACGAGACTTGTATTTACATTT